GAAGCCCGATGTGGGACTCGATCCCAGGACCCTGGGATCATGACCTGAGCCGAAGGCAGACGCTTAATGACTGAGCCACCCAGGCGTCTGACAAATAGAATATTTTTATATTTTTAAGGTGTGGTGAGCTTCGTTTTTAAAAAGAAAAAATGTTCGGGGTGCCTGGGTGGCTCAGTCGGTTAAGTGGCTGCCTTTGGCTCAAGTCATGATCTCAGGGTCCTGGGATCGAGTCCCACATGGGGCTCCCTGCTCAGTAGGGGGGGTCTCTTTCTCCTCCACCCCCCGAACTTCTGTGTGCTCCCTTGCTCTCTCACAAATAAATAAATAAAATCTTTTTTAAAAAAGAGAAAAAGCGCTCAGCAAGGTTGGGCTTTCACTGACACCAAAATAACTGGTTAGCTTACAAAATTAATCCTACTAGGTCCCACATGTCCCGTTGATGCAAACCTGGCTTGTTTAACCAAAGTTAACTTGAATTCAGAGGCCAAAGAGAAACTAAATGAAATTGACTATATTAGTAATTACCACACAGATCTACAGCCTGGAAGAGTGTTTCATGTGTGTGATCCATGTGAATAGTAAGATGAACAAAGTAGATGCTAGATACCACTTTTAGTTCTGTTTTAATTGCTGTTCTCAGTATGGGCAGTTCTGTCTAGCACACGAACCAGTGCCAGACAGATAAATGTGGGCTCAGTAAATAGGTCTTTTATACACGTAGCCAGACACCTCATTATAAGGCCCTCAGACTCCTCACTCGGTTGAAGTCCATTGTAAATGTCCCTTTGGCACATACATTTTTGGGCTTCTATGAACAGAAAGAAAGTGAGTGAAGCATCTGTAAAATGTATATTTCATATTTAGGTATATAAAATATATATGGCTACGTCTGGGTGTGCGAATGTTCACCCACCTACAAAGAGAATAAATTTGATCTTTCAGCTTTACTGGGAAGCACTCAGAAGGTTCTAGGGAAGCATGAGGGTGAAACTCAACTTGGCAATCAAATGATTAAAGCTAAATCCTTCCGTTTAGTTTTAAAAGTACCTTCAAAGTTAGCAATATCAAGACGTGCTTCCAAAAAAAAAAAAACCCTCCCCCCACCACTGCTACCACCTAAAACTTTTTTACAACAACAAAAAATACAACCCGAGTATCTTCAGCTCATCTGTTGCCTCTTGATGGGTGTGAAATTTTCATCTTCAGAGTATGCACACAACCCAAACAGGTTTTTTCTACGAGTTGTTTTTTTTTTGTCCTATGAAATATGCCTGTAAACGGACCTTAACAAAAAAAACTGGGCCATGGTGAGATATTAAAATGAGATCAGCAGCCCCTTCCCTCAGTCCCTTTGATCGTCTCTTCTCTCAGGGGGGGTCTCTTTCTCCTCCACCCCCCCCCAAACTTCTGTGTGCTCCCTTGCTCTCTCTCTCACAAATAAATAAATAAAATCTTTTTTAAAAAAGAGAAAAAGCACTCAGCAAGGTTGGGCGTTCACTGACACCAAAATAACTGATTAGCTTACAAAATTAATCCTACTAGGTCCCACATGTCAGTAGGGCTTTACAGACTAAGGAATATTGAATGTGGACCCTTGGAACTGCAGTTTCCTAAGCTAGCCCTGGTCTACTAGTTGCAGGCTAGCTTCACAAACCACTACTGGGTCTGCACGTCTTTGAGGGGTGGGCGCGCCAGTCCTGCAGGGCATTCGTGCACCCTCCGGGCTTTGACCTGCTCTCGTTACAGCAGCATTCTACCTGTCTGGGGCTGAGATGGTGCTGCGTGCATAAGTCTGCCCTGTCTTCAGTTTAAATTTAGACTGTCCTCCCCAGAAGACAACTGAGAAATTTTACCTCATTCTCAAGAGGGGTAATTTTAAAATAAAGTATTTCTGAAAGTGGGGGTAGGGGGAGAAAGACATGCTTTTTCCTGAGTATATTATGTTTTCTGTGTTAACTTTTTCTTCTATTTTACTAAAACTGACCTCATCATTTCAAACGTGTGAACCTAGTTTTATCGCCTTTTTTCTACCTATTTCACTTGTACACACACATTACATATGTGTGTGTATGTAATTTTTTTTTTTTTTTGGTTGGGAAGAAAAGATGCCTCATTTTGAAACCTAAAGGGGGAGTAAGAAAAGCCCTTTGTAATATATCGCCGTATTATCACTAAGTCCCCTGACAGTGTGACACAGAAGCAAGTCACCTGTCACTTAAGCTTGAGGTCTCTTTAATTTTCTCCTGGAATTCGCACCAGGCTGTCTTTAATTTGAGGCCTTTATTGGAATTCTGAAACCTCTCTGCCTCCCCGGCTCTCAGATCTATTCTGAGAGCTGTTACAGAATGTATACAATAACCAACAGAGGGATTCAGGCGGGCTGCAGCTCTGTTTATCTAACACTCTAGAGGGATTTTTGTGCTTATTCGGTCCTGGCTGCCCGGCTTTCAATATCGCTTTGACAACCATTCTGCCCTTCTCATTAATTTTAAACAGTTAAAACACAGGAAAAAGAGGAAAAAGTTTTCATTATTAAAGTGCTTTACTTTTTAATAACAGAGGATTCTGTCCGCCAGGGGAAAGGGCATCCTCGCTAATTTCACATTCATATTAAAAAAAACACACACAGGAAGGTGACAGTTACGTTGCCGAGGTGGCTTAACAAAAGGAGGGCAGCAAAAAAAAAAAAAAAAAAAAAAGTTTGCATTTGAGGGTAAAAAAAAAATCCTTGTTAATGACAATAGCAAATGTCCACTTCCATAACACAGCTCCTGAGTGACTTTTCTCTTGACATTCGAGTGGATAAAACCCTTAGGGGGACCATGTACTATGAAATCAGCTAGACTGTCATCAACCAAACAGGTAGCAGGAATGATTTGACAAAGCTAAAAACATTTTCAGGTTGTTAAAGTCTCTATTAATACAGAGAGGGACATCAACCCAAAGAATGAGGCTTTTTCTTCACTCCCCTTTGTTCTTCCTCTGGTAGCTTTAAAAGTGAAAGAGACTCTAAAGCCCAGTTCGGGCACCCTGTCCTCTGCGGGGATTATGGGAGGCAGGGACTAGGGCTCACACTGTTCCCTGGTGACCCACGTGGGCTGTGGGTGTTGGTTACTGTAGAGACTGAGTAGCATCTCTGAGAGAATCAGTGTCTTTGGAGAGACCTATCAGCCAAATTGAGTTTGGAGAATCTGGGTTCTTTGGATCTCAGTTTTACATTCAGTAGAAAGCATTCGTGTTTGTTTGAAGACATAGGAAACGGGCGCCTGGCTGGCTCGGTTGGTGTAGCATTTGGCCCTTGATCTTGGGGTGGTGAGTTCGAGCCCCACGTTGGGTTTAGAGCTTACTTAAAAAAAAAAAAGATATAGGAAACAACACTCGGTTTTAGGGGGATATAAAGAAAGGAAATCTTTTCTCTGGGATTTTTGAAGAATGAAAAGGATGTGATTTTTTTTTTTTTTAATTAATATTTTCCATCTGTAGAACTTTAGTGCATACAGATGTCACTCCTTACACAGGGATGGTTTGCTGCAGAGATCGTGTGGTCATCTCTGAATGTGGTGTGAAGGAATAGCCAACTCCTTAATAGGTCCCTGGCATCCAGCACAGTGGTCCCTCGCTGAAAGAATGGATCTGAAACACTACAACTCTGAGCCTCCCTAGGAATTGAGGGAGCATGCTCTGAAATTCAAGGACAGGCTAAATTTTAGGCAGGTCCCGCTGGGGCCCTCTTAAAGAGAAGATCCCATTGTTCCCCTGAGAAGGGTGAGGGAGGGGAAAGATTTAAGGCCTCAGTAGGACACACAAGTCATGTGAAACCTGCCTGTGTTCAGTGATGTTTTAAATGCCTGAATTGGACTTGGAAAATTCCAGAGTGTCTCCAGTGGGCATTCATTTTGAACAAGAGGCCAGGAGGACGAGTAAGTAAGTAAACAAGTAAATAAATAGACCCGATCTTCTCCCTCACAAAGCCATCTTCATCTTTGCTTGACTTTAACATCTTTATAGCTCCCGTTTTTCCTCTAGTAATATTGAAAGGATTACCCTTGTTGGCCCCTTGGTGGTTACCGGGTGGTTTTACTGTTATTAAATCTATTATAAAGTGCTTCATTATTCCTGACTCTGACTCTGTCTCTTCTTTAATCCTTCCGCCACCCTCCCAGAAATCCCGTGCTGCTGGCCCCCAGGAAATCCGAGAGCGAGCCACCGTCTTGCAGACGGTGTTTGAAGATTACGTGCACTCCAGCTCGAGGAGGGTCTCCTGGGCGAAGAAAGGTCAGTGGATTTCGTGGGTGCTTGTGCATGGATAGCCCCCAGAACGCCGTCCCCACCTCCACCCGCACACCCCCGACGGGCTGAGAGGCCAACCGGGGGGTTTCTGCTCTCCAACAAAAGCCTTCAGTCTCCCTTGTTCTGCAGGGTTTGGAAACAGGCACGGAAGGCTTTAAAGCGATATTAAATGCTAATTTCATCCTTCCCCATGTTTCGCACAAATGAGGCTTTATCTTGGCTTACGTAGGACTAGAACTTTGACCCAGTGACTTGGATCTCAGGGATCCATTTTTGTCTCTCTTTGAAAACTGGATAGACGAGACGTGACACGTCAGCAGAGACCGTTGTAGGCATGGAAATTAGAGTTGAAGGTAAGGACCGGGAGCATCAGACCTGAGCAGTCTCAGTTTCGACATACAGAGGAAGATGAGAAAGAAGTGCTGAGGGAGGGCCCTAGACCTTGAACCCAGTTCCTGGGGAATTTACAGGAGGGCTAGGTGTTCACTTAATATTCAGGCCCTCTTCCCGGGTAACTCGGCTCCTGGGGTCACCAGGCATTAGTGGGACTCAGCAGTTCAGTGGAGCAGAGCAGAGCACGCGGGACGGGGCTCCGAACAGCTCCTTACGGCGGCATGCATGCGCCGTGGCCGGTGACTGTGTCACGCATGCCAGAGTGACGCGGTCCATGCTGGGGGCCCCTCGCTGCTTTCTGGTAGTTACCTGCTATTTTGAGAAGAATGCTGGGCTGGCTTACCAGAACATCTTTTCCTTTTATGAATTGAAATTAAAAAAAAAACAACATTCATTTAACAAATAGTTATTGAATTAGTCACCCTTCTAGGTGCTTGGGATACATCAGGAATCAAAACAGAAACCCAAACCTCTCTAACATTCTAGGGGGGGAGCAGACAGTGAGCATAGTAAAAATAAACAAATCATATGTCTTCTAAAAGGGGTTAAGAACTATGGAAAAAAACAGCAGGTAAGGGAGGTGAAGGGGTAATTGGGCAGAGTGCATTTTACATAGAGGGTCATTGTGAGCCCTGCTGTGAAGGCAGCACGAGCAAATTGAGGGTCACACACTGCTGACAGGAGGGCGTGCCAGGCCCAGAGGAGCTCTGGGGGGCAGGGTGGCCACAGGAGGAGAGGGCCCGCGCAGGAGAGGAGGCTTGGGAGAGGGCTTTGGGGGACCCCGAGGGCAGCGGGAGCCATTGCAGGACTTGGAGCAGAGATGTGGCGCGGCCCACAGAGGTTGGAGAAGATGGCCGGTGTGAGAATAGCCTGGGGGGCAGGGGTGAGTGCTGGGGGACTGGTTCCAGGCAATTGTGGTGATCGGGAGATCGAGGACAGTGGGTTAGTCGGCGGAGGTTTTTGAGTGCCTCCTGGGTAGCCTGGCACACTATAAAAAGCAGCCCTTGTTGCCATCACAGTGGAACAAACCAGAGCTACGCAGGATGAAAGACGAAGTCCCAGTGATGGCCTCATAACCACTGATGAGTCATTAGCATGTAGCATTCTGGACTGTCTTCCCATAGTAGCCTCTGCTCGTATTTCCCTCAGGTGAATTCAGCAGTTCCTAAGGGTTCTCCTCGGAACCTACTTTAGGGAAGTGCTAACCCACGTCTCAAGAGGAATAGATTATTTGTCACGGCTTAACTACAGACGTCGGGCGTCTGTTGACAGGCAGAGTGAGCTTGCTGGGTGGTGCATCACGTGTGGTGCAGGAGTTCTGGGTTAATAACAAAGTGGCCATGAAAAGGGAGAAATCAAGGCCATGCCGTCATCTTTGTCGTTGGTTTTGAGGTCAGAGGTGTTCTGGATCTCCTGGCGAGACTACGACTATCTCAGGCTCTCTGGTCATCAGAGCAAGGGTGTAGTGAGGAATCCTTAGAGAGTGTGGTTTTGTGTTTTCATTCGTCGTCACCACCACTGAAATCGTTCATGCCAAGAAACAAGCCGAGTTACTTGTCTTCTCTCTAAAGGGTATCGGAGTGGGGCCACTCTGCGGTGTTGAGGCACCAAAAAGGAAATTAACAGGCATTTTTCTCCTCTGCTAATTGATTTCCACATCAGATTGGTGATGGTCTGGGAGGAAGCCGCCTTTGGTAGGTCTCGGCCGCTCCACTCCTTCCTCTTCTGGTACTCAGCGTGCTGAGCTCCGGAGGTCACAACGGGGGGACAGCGACTGCACCCCACAAGTCGAAACTCTCTTCTGCATTTCAGTCTGCATATGCAAATTCCCCACTACTTCCGTGCCTCCCTTTTATGCCATTTCAGAGCCCACCACATGAATAATTAACAAAGCAGCTGGTTTTTGCCTTTATGGCAGAAAACTAGTTAGAAACTGGGCCAAGTATGCATTTGTTTTCCTTTTGCATTTCCTGACCCAGTCATTGTTAATAACCGGCGTTTAATTGTTGCCAGTTTCCAGAAGGAGTCACGCTTTCTCCCCGCCCTCATTTCTTGCCTCCTTTAGCTAGATTCAAGTGGTTAAAAACTGTGCTAATAGAAGTTTGAACTCCAGACTCCTGAACAAAAATTTCAGAAACTGGAGTTCTTTACCTACAAACCACCACTTTCCTGTGGTGAGGCCCCTCCAGCTTCAGGGGGCCCACATGCAGAGGAGTTGTGCCTGGCTTGGAAGAGCTGCTCCTCAAAGTCAAGAACACCCAAACCACTGATGACAGATTAGCCCCCTCTCTCAGTGTGATTGCAGGTAGGCAGATGCTCAACCAAATGCTTTGATACTGTTGTGGTGTCAGGTAGACAGGTGTGTGTGCCTTTACTCTGCACAGACGTTCGTCCTTCTGGGGGCAGGGGCAAGTTTCTTTCCTCCCTACCTCTTTGATCTTAAGTATCATCCATAAGATACTACTATTCCTGGTCAGATGGCCAAGACTAAATCTGATTTGAGGAACAAGGATGAAATAGATTGCCCTTACAGCTATGAGATAGGAGCCCGTGGCTCCGGAGTGCGTGCTCTAAGTGGCCGCAGCTTCCTCCGCCATCCTCGATAAGTGCCCTCTTTCTCTGCTCTGGGCCCTACAGCCCCTATTCCCGCTGCAAGTTCTCGACACAGACCCCGGAAAGCATCTAGAACAGCTTCTGCTGAAATTCCTGCTTCCCTGAACCATCCAAACACGGGAGGCCATTCAGGGATGTGAGGACAGCCAGGGGTCGCTGGCCCCAGGAAGACAGGAGCCTTGCGGACAAGGAGGGTTGGTAAAAATACACAGTGCGAAATGCTGCCTGAGCAGTTGTGGAGGGAGAAGGCACGTCTGCCATTTCTTGGCAAACTTGTTACTCCTGTAGAGCTGTTAGCTGAGCACCTGCGTCTCCTGGGACAGAGGCTCTCCATCCTCAGCTCTTCAGTTTGGTGCAGGAATAGGAGGCTAATGTGCTTACGTGGGAGAGCGGTGTGCATGAGGAGGCCTGGGCCAGCCTTTGGACAACCGAGATTGTAAAGGTGCAGAGTCTTTGGCTTGGCTTGGTGTGGCTGCAGTCTGCTTTGTTAGACCAGGAGTCAGGGTTGAGGCTCAGGAAAGCGGTGGCCCGGGGCGTGGAGGAGAAGAGGCCTGCACCCCGCCCCCGCCCCCGCCCCGCCCCAGGGGCGGTGGCGGCAGGCCCCTCCCGAGGACTGGAGTAGGTAGCTCCGTGTCTGGAACCTGGTGTCGGAACCTGCAGGCAGTGCAGACCATGTGAAGTGTTAAAAGATTTCCGTTGAAAAAGCTAGTCCCCAGTTATTAAAAAGGGGAGTAAGCGGGGCACCTGGGTGGCTCGGTCGGTTGGGCGGCTGCCTTCGGCTCGGGTCATGATCCCAGGGTCCTGGGATCGAGCCCCATGTCAGGCTCCCTGCTCGATGGGGAGTCTGCTTCTCCCACTCCCTCTGCCTGACTCTCTGCCTACTTGTGCTCTCTCAATAAATAAATAAAATCTTTAAAAAAAAAAAAAAAGGGGAGTAAGCACAGATTTACGAGAGGGGTGCAGAGGAGTTGCCTTGGTTATTATTTCTCATCGATTGGGAAAAGGAGTTCACTTTACTCAGTAAATAGAGCTTTCATGGATTCCCAGGATCCTTCCAGGAGCTGATCTGCTAAAATGACACTTTTTATTACTGTTCATAAACGCCAGTCTCCAGGTGCTGCTGGGATATTACGTTTAAGCTGTGGGCAAACTTGCCAGGCCAGTGGCTCCACAAGCAAGGGCGAGAGAGGCTGGTGTTTAGCGCCTGCTCTTCCATGAGACGAGCGGCGCTGGGCTCCGGCTCGGCCATTGGGAGAGCCAGGCTTGGAAGGAAAGTGAGCGGCGATGGGCTTGGGGCTCCTTCAGAGCCATCTCCTCTTGCACTGTTGCAGTGAGAAGAGGCAGGCATTTGATTTTCATTGAAATCGCAGTATATTTGAGGGGAACTGGGTATAGGAACATCTCTTTCCTCAAAGGGATACCGAGTTAAGGTGTAACCAGAGCTCCATGCTCCTGCGAACCATGGCTGCCTTTTCTCTGGCCAGCACTGGGCTCTAGAACAGGGCGCCTTCTTAACTTGAAGACAGGACTGAAACCACGATGCAGCGTCGGATGGACGTCTCTAGACTGTTGGCAATCCGCAGGGGAGAGACTGTTTTGTGGGCTGTTTTAGAAATTTAATAATTGCTTTCCTCCTTTTTAGAATTCTGTTTTCATTGCCTTTTTTATGCAGTTTTCAAATGGGTGTAAGAAGCACTGTATCAGTAAATCTTAGATGCTTTAGAATGAATTTGGTTCTAAAATCCCAGGAGTCCACGAGGAAGCAGCAGCCCTCCCTGTCGATAGGGGGGTGGAGGCGGGGCCTGCGGGTAAGCAGACTTACAGCAGTAGTAACCCGTCGTGGTGATAAGCAGAATGACAAGCACGGTAAAGCCTTTGGAACCTTTTCAATTTTATAACATGTGCACGTATTAGCTATGCAAAAATAAATGAAGTTGAATTAGGAAAATGTTTTCCTAACATAAAGGTCTAATGATCTCGTTTTTCATGAGAGAATGCCACATTGACCATGTTTTAGTTCCTTCACTCATTCTGCTCTTCATTCATTTATATGACAAACACTTAGCAGCTTGCGGTGTCCCAGCTACCATGCAAGGCCCCAAGCCTATAACGGGGGCGAAAGCGGGGCCCGTGCCCTCCAGGGTGAGGACACGCTACACAGTAAAACCTGAAAATAGATTGGGTTTAACCAACAGATACTTGTGTCCTATAGGTTTAGTTTTTGAGGAATTAAAAATATATATATATACAAGTAAAGATTTAGGTGGTTCCTGTATGTGGTGCTGTCCTGGCTGTGTGTGGTGCATTTCCCGGCAAGATATGGTGGGCAGGACAGCCGTTGGGCCAGGGCACGTGGGGCGCCCCGAGCCCCCATCCTGATGGCCTCTCTGACCCCCATTCCCTCCCAGCTCTGCAGGCCTTCATCCGAGCCTACGCAACCTACCCCCGGGAGCTGAAGCATATCTTCCATGTCCGGTCGCTCCACCTCGGCCACGTGGCTAAGAGCTTTGGGCTGAGAGATGCCCCCCAGAATCTGAGTGTGGCAGCTGTGAAGAGAAGGAAAGCGAACCTGAACAGGTAAGATGAGCGGAGTTTGCCCTGTGACAATGGCTGGAAGTCAGGTGGGTGTGGAGAGCTCTGGGCCCAGCAGCAGGGAGGTGACGTGCTGGGCTTCTGTGTGCTCAGTGTCCGCTCTTCCGTCTTCGGTTCTTGTGGTAAATCATCACCAGTGTCTGCCCCTCTCTCAGTATAATAAGTGCTTGGAGCAACAGGAAAAGCACCTCATCTGAATGTTTTTAAGGCACCTGCAGAAATGCAGTGGGGTCTCCTGTCGGGTCCAGATGTCGTGGGGATATTATTGGGGCAGCAAGACAAACCTGTTGGGTTGTCCTCACTGCCCACCAGCAGAGTAACTCGGGGACTTGCTGGAGTCAGAGCTTCAGATGTGCTGTGGTTCACCCTGGAAAGCCTCCGGGGCTTGTACGAGAACTTCTGGCGTGTTCTGTGAGATTCGCCAGGCCCTGTCCCGGTGAGATGGGAGGAGCGGCGTGTGGAGTTCCAGCTTAGCACCTTTCTCCTGCAAGCTGGCTCCAGCGGCCAGCACTGGACTCCCTGCACCTCTTCACTCTCCTCGGTGCTGAGCACACACCCGGGCAAGTGCCAGGCCCTCTCCCCCTCCCTCCCCTCCCGCAGAAAGCCTGTTCCGAACTGTCCAGAGGTCCTAGGGAGGAGACCCTGCAGGGTGAAGACTGGGCTGAGTCCACCCCATGGTTTCAGGAGGTCCTGAAACCACAAAATACCTTCACAAAAGGTCCTTCTCTCCTCAGAGACTGGGTGTACTTTTAATATCAGCCTCAACCCCTTGCAGGAACCAGAATACTTCAGATCCCATGGGCTGCTTTTAGGGGGAATTTGTGTAGTACGTGGGTGGGAAGGATACATTGAACGAACATTTGGGGGGCAGTGAACTCTTGAATGCTCTGGACAGTCACTTTGTATTGCATGTCATTCTTTTTGCTTATTAATTACAAATGCCACAATCCACTTGCCCTGACTAAGAATCCGTGGGCGTGCCACACTTTTCCTGCACGTTCCCGCACAATGCCCGCTTGTGCATTCGCCACCACCACCCTCGTCGGCGCCTGGTTTCTCTGGAGCACAGTGACAAAAGGGAGAGAGGACCACCCAGTGTAGGGAAATGATCGCTGGCCTTGGATGTGGGGGACTTGGACTCAGTTCCAGCTCCACTGTGATATGAGCTTCTGAGCTTTGGGCCACGTCTCTGCTTAACTTCCCAGAGCCTCGGGTCCCCCAGCTACAGAAGGGAGAAGGAAATCAGTGTTTTTAGCGATTTCCCAAAACTGTTTTGAGAATCAGCATGAAGGTGGGTCATACAGATGAAGCACCTTAGAATGGAGACCTAGAAACCCGGTGGGTTAGGATTCTGGAACATCCAACATGATCTGTTCAGGGACTTGGCATCTACAAGGCTCTTTGTAATGGATACAGTTGGCCTAATTGTAATGCCGATTTGGGGATATTTAAGGTGGTTGCTTTTTTTATTCATGTTAATACCACTCATACAGGACCATACTCCAGTAGTTCTGTGAGGCAAGTCATTCTCGTCGTGCTGCTGTTCATCCATGCCCAGACAAGACTAAGACACATCCAGCTCTGGTTTCTGCCAGGCGGTTTTGAGGTGCAGGGCGCTGCCTGCTGCCCCAGCTGCGTGTTCTGGTCAGGGCCGCAGCCAGCGACTTCTCTGCCCGTCCTCCCAGAGGGAGAAGACGCCTCACATCTACTCCCAGGCACGGTGGCGGTGCACCAGCGTTAGGTCGCTGTCCTGGGATTGGAGGTGGCTGGTATCTCTCCATGCTGACTTTGATTTTGAGTGGGTGAGGCTTGCGGTCAGGTCTGAGGGTGACCTAGTGATCTGGAAGCCAGGCCATCCTGCCACCGTTTCTAAGATGTTGGCACTTGGAGAAGATAGGAATGCACGTGCCAGTCGATTACTGGTAAGAGACACGTATTTTGCTGATTCCTCTCCCCGCATGTAAATGTGGTCCCAGTATCTTACTGTTCACAGCTGATGTACCTTTATGACTGGGAATTTCATTAGCAAGTGTGAATCCAGATAGCAGCTTTTCAGACTGGGGTGTCCTCGGCTCTTCCCCAGGTCCTGGAAAGCGGAGCAGCAAGGAGGGAGGCAGTTGGGAGGGGGGCTTGGGGCCAGCATTGTCCTTACCTTGAGAAGCCACTAGGGAGAGAGCAGGCCTCCGCCTCCTGCTTCGGCTGGCCCTGCTAGCAGATGGGCACCAGGACTACTGTACCCCTGTGAGCAGGGGATTTAGCAGGGCTTTATTTCGGGAAGAATGGGCTGATTAGCCGATAAAGAGCATGTAAGATGGTATGGGGCAGCCTTTGATGTCTGGCTGGCGCGGCAGGGAGCCGGGTGGTGAGTGACAGCAGTGTGTCACAGGATTACTCCGCCCGCGACAATACCGCTTTCTGTTCTGGCCATGTCATCACTCAGTTACAGCTACTTTTTGGGTTGTTATGCCCTTCTTTTGAAGGCATTTCTCTCCACACTCTCACATCCTCCCACCCCACCCCTGCCTCACTAACGCAGACGGGCACTTGAATATGGTAGGCACCTTTTTTTATTTGGGGAAATCTTGTCACTCGCGCAAGAAGAATGACTTTGCAGCTAATCTGCACATGGACCATATAATTGTGGTCGGGGTAAGTGGCAGAGAAAACTTGACAGATTTTCCACACCTCAGTCAGGGCTCAAGCAAATGCCAGTTGCTGCTTCTTGAGCCCTGGGAAGAAAAGTGCATTAAAGCCAACAAAGTGCAGAGAGTTACACTGTGGCCACAGTGATTGTTCTGAGCCCAGGCGTCTCCTCTGAAATCCATCTGTCAAGAAAGAGAGTGGTTCCTTATGTTTTGTATGGACGGATCAAGTAATAGCACTAAATTCGCCAAATTATGCTGCATTCCACTTGATGGGGTTTACTGCCTAGAAAAGTTACGTGTTCTGTGCAAAGCTCTGATACCTGCAGACACCAAACAAGGAGCTCGTCTGGGCGTTAGAAACGCGAAGCAAGGGCAGGTTAGCTCAGGTTAGCAACGGCAAAGGGAAGTTTTATCTCGTCTGTGTGCTTTTAGTCCTTTGCTTGACCACTGTTCAGAAAAAGAAATGATGTCCCCAAATGCGATCTTAATCACCAGGTCTGTGTCTCCTTTTTCAGTCCTTAGTTCTGAAAGGGAACATGAGCTGTTTCTCCCCCGCACGCAAATACAATCATGGTTACAAAACTCTTCTGACACCTAAACGCAGACCTGCCAAAGCAGCCCCCACCCCAAACCCCGACACAGACATGCACACAGGGAGTCGGTGCTGGTGGTAAAATATTGAGTGGCCCCTTAGCAACATCCGTCACAAACACAGCCTTTTCCCCCTGTGAAATGCAGTTCGGATCTGAAGCTAGGTAGATTCAGCAGTTACTTCAGAGAAGCAAAGGTAACAGACCTTCCAAAATTTCCCATCTTCCCAGGGGACACTGAGCCCCAGTGTGTCTGCTTCGGGAGGTCAGAGTTGTGTTGTTTGCCAGGGTGTCTGTCTGTGTAGGCAGTCACATACGAGTCGTGAGCAGGCACGCTGTGGACGGCTGCGGATCCCTCACCTGTCTGACACCGTGGAGAATGGTTCAAGAATAGAACACCTTACAGTGTCAGCGCTACCGTGACAATATGGAAGAGCAAGTCTGCTGGTTGTAACCACCCTCTCTCGTGTGAGTTATATGCTGGCACCATGAAAGCGCTGCTCTTCCCCAGACGGTTTAGTCTGTAGCTCCCTAAGACTTGTCGACCCCTGGCTTCTGCCACCTGTGTCTTTCTGATGTTTTTCTTAGTGCCTAGAAACATCTGGGACATCGCCTTTATCAGTAACGCAATAACTATGCTCCCCTGTTCTCAGCTCCCTCCTCTTAAAATTAGGAGAAAAACAACAGTCTGAATTGTTGACTGTTCTTAAAAGAAATGCAGTTTTGTTTTATTTGTATACATTTTCTCAGGCCAGCCTTGTTAAGTGTTACCTGATCTTACCAAACAGGTAAACAGTCTGAAACGAGGGATCTCTTAACCCTGACTACTGGATCTGTGTGTGCGTGGCCAGGGCTCGGCAGGCTGTGGTCAGTAATACAGGGGTACGTGGGGGCTGGCTCCCCTGGGTCCTGGCCTTGGGGCAGAGCCACCGGCACCCGAGCACTGCAGAGCATTGCCTTAACCTCTGTCACCCCCAAAGTTTTAGATACAGTGCGTTCTCTCATGGAGAGGGTGCTCACCAGACTTCCCATCTGAATGATCACAAACGCTTTATCACCAGCGTTTAAACGGGGGGTTCTGCAGAGCTCCGTCTGAGGCATTTTGCAATTTTGAAGGCCTTTGCCCTGTCACTTGCTGTGATTCTCACCCTCGCCTGCTCGGTAGTTGTTAAATAACTACCGAGAGTCCCTACTGACTAGTACTCCAGTGCCCCCCTCATGTCCTAAATGCCGAGTAAGGGGGGTCACACAGTGATGAAGAGTCGGGACTGAGCCACTTCCCCTGTTTGTGCCCTGGGACAGGTGACTCAGCCTCTCTGTGCCCACTCCCCCCACCTCCCAAACGGGGAACTGGAGCTTCATGGTGCTGTCGTGGGGACCAAACTAGGTGCGGAGTGTAGGGCGTTGACACAGTGTCGCACGTGAACACACGGGAGCACTTGCTGCTGGTTCTTTGCGCCCGCCTTCCCCGTCCCTGTGAGTGTCCCTGCGATGGGGAGCAGGAAGTGTGGCCAGCGGTGAGCTGTGCAGCACCCTTGAACTTGTCTTATCAGGAGCAACCTTGTAAACGTGGAGCTGGTCCTCTCTGAGACACGCATTAAGAAGCTGCAGCTGCACCTCCCTGTAAGGCAATATTCTCATCATTAGGAGCAGCTTTCCTGCCAATTTTTACGTGGCATTTACAATCTCCCTAAGTTCACTTAATTAGCTGAAGGCAAACCTGGAATCTTGCCCACTGTGAAAATTTTCTCGATTTCATTGAGCCAGTTATTCTGTAAAAAAGATCGGCCAAATATGAGATCAGAGGCTGGATAAAGCCACACTTGAAAACGTGGGGGTCTCTGTGAGAACCCTCCCACCCCCTGCATGTGGGCCGGATCTCCCCTTATCAGGTCCGGAGCAGCATTCAACACCGTTGACCACCCTGGCCACCTTGCACTGGTCTCCTCCCGCCACTTCTTGAACCCTGCCACGATCAGTGGCAGCTCTCGGCCCCTCACCTTCCTCTGGCCTTCTGCAGCAGCCTGCGGCCACTCTGCTCCCCTCCAACCTGTGCTCCAGGCCGAAGAGCCTGCACAGCCCTCACCCATCACCCTCGCGGCCAGCCTTTTGCTGGGTCTCATTGCTGTAATGACTCAGGCAAGTGACAACAGCAGACCCCCTCTTCCCAAGGACCTGCGTTGGGGATCAGCCCACAGAATGGGGGACAAGCTGGTTCAGGAAGGTCAGATCACTCGACTTCAGGCTGAAGACCAGAGGGAAACAGCTAAGGACCACTGGACAAGCCTTGAGGACAGATGTGCGTGTCCTGCGTAACAGGGGAGCAGAACCTGCTCTCAGGCTCTCCTGAGGAGCTGTATACAATACAGATGCCCAGGCCCCAACCCAGGCAACCATGGTTCAGGAAAGTCTGAAGTCATGAAGAGTGGGATGGAGGTGGTCATGAACTTGACTAACAGGTCTCTAGACCCAGGTCCTCGGAGCAGGTGATGGGGTGTCCTTAACACAGGAGGGCCACGAGGTGCTGGCTAGGTGTATGTGTGTTCTGAATTGGAGACAGGATTAATTGATAATTTA